TAAAGTTCCCTCTTGGCAAAAGTTGGAAAACTTACTAAAACTGAGGTTCTATAAGGTAATGAATATTGCGGAGGGTGTGGCTCATCACATAAAGGTGTATAACATCTCAAGGGTTTCACTGATCACCACGCAACTTTGTAGGCATATGACCACACATAATCTGAGGGGACCCCTCCATTATTGACCCCATCAAACAAAATGGGGGCGCTAGAGAGCTAATTTCTTATCTAGGCCTAACCACCATTTTGATTTTTACTAAACTTGGTAGATATGTAGAACAGGACGCCTCAAGGTGACTGGAGAAATTTAACTCTAATTGGCAACTGGGTGGCGCTATAACAACAGAAAAATGCTTCAAAATGGCTAAAATGTGACCGATCACTGTGGCTCCCCCTGTGGCCCAATGTTTTGGGGTTTTTTTCTGATTTTTGGTATGACTAAGTCATGGTATGGTATGCTGTACATAATCACGGAAACTGTCAGTGTGTCATTCTGTCAGTCAGTCATTCTGTCTGTCCCACGTTTTTCTACTCACTGACGTGGTCATTCTACTGTACTTTCAATAAAGCAATCGTACTATCAAATTCATAAAAACTCTGTCTGAATACATTGCTCTTCTTAATGGATTCACTTGACTATTTAATCTGCAATTTCCTATGACCTGTATTCCAAACACACAGCATGTGAAACTGTACATGAGCAACTGTGCACTCAATGGGAATGGACTAGTCAATACATTAACTATAAAATAAGAAACCAAAGTATATCAGTCTGTGATTCCTTAACTCTCCATGTTGACATAGTTTCAACCAGTCTATATACTTAAACAGCGTAATTGATTTCCTGAAATTTAGTTATGGCTTTAGGTTTTAGTGTGCCACTCCAGTTTTTTCATGGCCCCATCTGTCCCAAATTTCCCAAGGTAAAGCCTCCTCGCTGCTGTTGAGGAAACAGTTTGTATTTGGTTCTAAAGATTTCATTTGACAGTTTTTCACAGATTTCCAGTAAGACACCATAAACTACACCACAGCAAGAATAATTGGTGCAAACAGGCTGAATCTACAATATTTCAAATCTACAGTAATGCAGCTTCAATAGCTTCCTCCCTCTATCTCTCTCTCCTTCTTTCTCTCTCATTCATCCTGCTGTCCTCTCAGCCAGTCTTCCCCTCTCATATATTTCCAGCGCCTCTCCGTGCCTTGTCATGCCTTCCACAATTTATAGATCTCTCTCCTCTCTCTTCTCTTCTGCCTTCATGTCTCTAAATCTATCCTCCCTTCTTTATTCACTACATCTTCTCTCCTCCTTCAGCCCTTTCCCTTTCTCTTCATCCTCCTTTTTTCCCTCTCTTGCCCTCCTCTTTATTCTCATGTTTTTGTCTTTCAGGTCATCACTCCTCTTTACTCTAATTGGTTCACTTTATCAAAGACAAGCAATCATTTTAAAAAATCAATAAAAATCAATTATTCAACTGCACAACAGTTCCACTGAGATGATTTCTACATGCAGCTTTTGCGTAGATATGCAGATGATCACATGGGAAATGAGGTTAAAAACATTTGAAGAAACTACTGCAACTTTTTTTCAATTTGGCTCACTTCATTTCAGTAGCTTAGTGGGGATTCAGTAAATCACAGGAGCACCAGGTGACAAAATGAATTAGTTTTTACCACAGAGCAATTATAATAGAGAAAACAGCAGTAAATCCCTCTGCACTACACTCCTCCTTCTCCCCTTCCTTCTTTTCATCCTCCTTAATATCATCTCTGTCATCTGTCTATCTCCTGCTCTTTGCCAGCTATGATCTCTACTTTTGTTTCTCATCCCTTCTTTTTGTTCTCTCCGTCGACCCCCTCTCTCATCGTCTTCTCTAGTGGTCTAAGTAAATTTAGTCACGTAGCCTACTGCTCTTAAAGAGTAACTAAACACTTTGGTAAAATATTGTATTGCTGACCTCGAGTGGTTTAACCTCTCACCTATCAGCTGTGATGTACAGGTGGACTCCAGGACCTGGTGATATCACTGTTGAGTGTGGTTGTAGGTGCAACAGACCACACCCTGCAGTAATGCTACTAATGTAGTTGTGCTCTGATTATACTTATTTATCTTTACTGGAGAATTTTACTTGTAATGTAACAATCCAGTTGCCAGAATAAATGCTGGCAGTGTATGTTTCTGCAACTCATAGATACCTTACATGTGTATGTTTCATGTGTGCTGGATATGTGGAAAATCTATTCTTGTTACATTTTAATTTATAATTTTATGTTGTCAACACTGTGGTCAGCATGCAGTTAAGTTCATATTTTAAAACAGCTGTTTTTTGTCACCACATACACAGCTGCACGTGTCATTAAACATACCCACTTTTGTTGCAGAAAACACAACTGGAATATGTTTTTCAAAAATACAGAGTTTGGTTCCGACAAACACAGCTGAAATGTGTCATTAAAAACAGACTCAGTTTTGTTACGACAAACACGGCTGAAGCTGTCCCAATGTGTCATTCAGAAATATTCATTTTGGCTGCAAGAAACACAGTTGGAAATGTGTCTTTAAAAATACCTGGTTTTGTCACAGAAAAATGCAGTTGGAATGTGTCATTAAAAAAAATCGGTTTTGTTGTAACAAATACGGCTGTAAATGTGTTGGTAAAGAATACCTGGGTTTGCTGCAACAAACACAGCTAGAAATGTCCCACTGTGTATTTAAAAAAAAAACTGGTTTGTTGCAAAAAACACAGCTAAAAATACTTGGTTTGGTTCGGTTGGGTTAGGGTTAGCCTGGAAATGTGCTATTAAAGAAAACCCTGGTTTGTTGTAAAAAACACAGCCAGAAATGTCCCAGTGTGTTGTTAAAAAATATCCGGTTTAGTCACAACAACCACGACTGAAAATGTGACAACAAAGAGTACCTGTGTTTGTTGTAGCAAACATGGCTGAAATGTCACAATGTGTCCTTAAAAAAAATCCCGGTTGTGTTGCAACAAATAAGGCTGGAAATACTTTGTTAACAATACCTGCTTTTGTTGTTGGCTGGTTTCGAACAATGGTCTGCTACTTTCCTTGGTGTTATGTCATCCACCATTCCTTCCTCCTCCTAATGAGAACCTCTGCTACAAGTAGTCCAAACTGTGTCACCCTAGAAATGTTGATATGATCCATATGAAACATATGAATGTAATTTATCTGTGGTTTGCAGAAACATACAACGCCAACATATTATTCTGGCCTGAATGGAGCATTTTTACATTCATGTCTTGGTGCTTTAACATAAGTTGAGCCACTAGCCTTGTCTTGCTTCCTCTCTTTCTCTATTTCCTGTCATCCTCTCTCATCCCTGCCCGCCTGCTGTAAACTACCCGCTCCTCTCCACCCTGGTAATAGATGGCAGGTGTTGGTCAGTGTGACGGAGTCATTCTGCTGCCAGTCCATCTACCCACTGGTCAGATCTATACGACAGCGCCTTCACACTATAAATCAACACACACACACACACACACACACACACACACCGGTCTCCCTCCATTCTGACGATTGATGTGCACCTTGTTGCTAAACGGCCGAGATAATTAAACCCCACGCATCCCTCCCCTGTGTGTGTAGGGTGTGTGTGTATGTGTAAATGCCCTGCTGTTGCATTGTTGCACAGGCATACACGATTAAACGACACACATCCACTCTGTCTTCCTCTCCCCTCACACACACCATTACACTACAAACACACACTTTCTGTCGTTGCCCTTGCATTCCTACACACAATCTCTCTTTCTCTACACACACTCACAGAGAGAGGGAGGGAGGGAGAGAAAGCACCTGCTGGGCTGTAAAGCACTCAGACAAACGGCGTCTGTGTTTGGGAAGACTTGAACAAATGGGAAAATTATACAGTGGAAGCAAAACGGGACCCTTTCACCCAAAGGTTCCCTTACCCTAACCGGCTGAAGGGAATTTTTCAGCATATTCCAACTCCTTTCTTTTATTAAAGTGTGTGTCTAAGTGTGTACTCATGCATACACAATTGACTCTGTGTGTTTTAATTATAGGGTTATTGTTTATACATAGAGCATGATTGAGCAGATCAGTTAATGTTAAGGCATGGATGAGTTCCTGAACAGGCACAGGGGCCCCTGGAGCAGAGTCATTGTTTGAAGGGACTTTCTTGGTGGAAGGTTAATGAAACAACTACAAAGACAGAGCGATCACATACTGTAGAGACAACAAAATGTTTGCCTGTCTTGGTCTGGATGTCTCCCTCCTGTATGTGGGTGGGGTGAGGGGCTTTGTGGTCATAACAAATCCATGTATAAAGGTAGAAAATGAAAATGATTCACAAATCATCACAAGGCAAATGAGGGTAAGCTTAAAATACATATTACATATTTTCTGCAATTTTTTGGTTAACTTTGGCTGTGTTTATCCTGCTCTTCATCTCTTATCGCTCCTGCTCTCCCCTTGAGGGAATGTCTTTCACCCATGATGCCCAGCTTTTAGCGCACTCATGTTACTTCATACACACGCATGCAGTTTGATGAATGAATAATGAGCAGCCTGTTGGCCTCACGGTGGGTTCAAAGACCAAAATAGTCGACTCAAAGTGTTTAAGACTTGATTTCTACCAGTGTTCAGAACCCAGCTCCATCTTTTCTCGGCTTCTCGCTAATTCATGGACACTCACACATGGCATTAGACAACACACACACACACACACACACACACACACACACACGTGAGCTCTCCCTCTCTCTGTCTTTCTCACTCGTGCGTAAAAACGCTCTCTCTGCCACTCCGTCTCTCACCTCTCACATACACCCACGGACCAGGCGCGCACACACACACACACACACACACACACACAGTCGAGCGGATAGCTCTTCTTGCTCTCTCCAAAAAAAAAAAAAAGGCACACACACTAGACATACCCTACAGCCCATGATGAAGTAAACTCATCACACACGCGCGCGCTCACACGCGCAAAATCGGAGCGTGATATCCTCTTACCTGGTGTTTTGGAGTTAACTAGTCCTGAATCCGAGCGGCGCTGGTGACAGAATCTTGACCAAACGAAAGCGTTACCATTTGCTGAAATAATCCTACCTCTGGCTCGCTGCTCGCGTGTCTTCTTCAGCCAGTTTCTCGGCTCTCCAAACTGACCGGACGAAGGATAGATAAATGAAAGGATGGAGGTCGTTTCTTCTTCTCCTCTCTGCCAAAAAAGAGATTTACAGCCTGAAACAGGAAAAGTCTTGCTGGCTGCAAAAAGAATATAATCCCTCTCCTCCTCTATCCCCTCTTCTCCAAGATGTTTGAAGGCTAAGTCTGCTCCAATTAACCGCAGTTACGCATCCTCTCCTTGTCTCTCCTCTCTCTTTTCCCCCCCCCTCTGCCCTCTGTGTCTATCCCACTCCTGTCTTTCGGGCCGGGATGTAAGACAGAGACAAGTAGGTAGACCTCTGTGTTCAGTCTGTCTCTGTCTCTGTCCGGGCACTGGTGTGGAAGAGTCGCTCTACTTTGCGCAGCCAAAAATAACTTCCAATCTCCAAACTGGAATCCCGCGAAGCGCTTGCACTATAATAATCCTTATTAAATTCTTAAAATGATTTCTACAGCGAAGCTGTTGTGGCAATCATGAGTTTATACTCCTTTTAATAGTACTTTATGGTACTTTCTGCCCTTGTTGTATCCTGTAATACTCCCACAGGGTCTTTAATGTAGCGGTGTGAGTACTGAATATTTTATTTTCATGAAATCTATAACATTCATGTAATATTCCTAAAGGGACATAAACATTTGCCAGTATAGGCTTTATTTTAAGTGTTATTGCAGGGTACTTTGTTATGTCTTTGTTTCAAACGTTAAACTGCGCAAAATGGGCAGAAAAGTCGACCTTAATTATGAGAGAATCAATCATTAGAGTCCCAATTTGAAGGCTGGCGTCGTCGATAATCAATCAATTAATCAATCCAGAGGTGCTGTTAGATAAGCCTCATCTCATACCAAAAGAGAGTAGCTGCAGTGCAGGGTTCCCTCTTCCTCTTAAATCCCCCACAAGTCAAAGTTTGCCGGGTGATAAGGTCCGACGGCCAATCAACCGATCAATCAGCTGATCAATAACAGCAATCAGTCCATATCTAGACAGAAGTCAATGAAACAAAATGAAATGTTTAAGCTCTCTCCTCTTTCTTTTTTGTTCTTTTTAGTCCTAATCCATCCCAAAAGACATTATTGGAAATGGGAGACCACGCGTGTTCTCCATTTCTCTCCTCCGTGTCCTCTTTTCTCTGTCCTCCTTCTTTACTTTTCTCTCTCCACAGAAATACGTCCCTTCCAGGTCAGAGTGCTTTACCTTCCTTCTTTTCCCTCAATGCAATCCCGAGCTGCACTTGGCTGCCAATATCACAAAAAAGTCCACTTGAAATGACTTTTGGAAATCCTTCTTGCGGCGCCGGAGCAGCGGCAGAAGGAACAGCGCGAAGCCTTGAGCTGCTTCTTTTGGGTTCTCCTCCAAAGCGAGCAGGAGAGAGAGAGAGAGAGGGGGGTAAGACAGGAGGAGGAGGAGGAGGAGGAGGAGAGTTGGAGCTGGATATCCTCGCTTTCAGTCTGACAACGATGGAGAGAGAAGAAGATATGTGGAGGAAAGAGTCCGCTCCTGTGATTAACCAGAAAAGAGAAACCCCACTTTTGGCTTGATGGCCGAAATAGCTGGAGAGAGGGGGAGTAAAGATCAGATGCGCCTCTTTTTTTCCCTCCTAGAAATAAAACACTTACTCTCTTTACTCGTTTCCCTCAGATACTTCACCACCTGCCCAGGGAAGGACAGATAAGAGACATACAATCTGCCATTTCTTGCGGAGGCTTTTATCCAAAGTGCCTTAAGAGAGTCCACAAGAGAGCGCAGAGCAGCCAGAGAGAGGGAGGAAAAGAGAAAGACAGAGAGAGAGGGGGGCGCCCGCTGTGGGCAACAAAAAAATTAAAGAAATATCCTTCCTCCATACGTGTTGATATTCAAACCCACGCGTATTTCCAGATGCCAGATAGTTTCCTGTCCTAGATAAAGGAGAAATGATTGTGTTGTTGGAGATAAGACTCCAGTAGAAATGAATGGGACAGGCAGCCTGCTGCTTCATTCAGCTGCTCCCATTCCCCCATGCGAAGGGCGCTGTTCCTTCAGCACCACGAGGCGCACACACACACACACACACACACACACACACACACACAGAGTTACAGAGATGTTTATATTTTCTCCCTCTTTTATTGAAGTTGCATTTTGAAGTTGTATTTTGACATTTGAGAGAGACAGTAGGGGCACAGTTTTTAGGCATTTTCCTTCTTTTTCTTCTCCTGTATCTTTAATTTTTATTGACAGGAGAAAATGAAAAGTTGGATAGGGGTTAAGAGAGAGAAGAGAGGTTAAAGAAAGAATAAAATATGGGAGAACGGAGAGAGTGTGTAGGCTGTGAGGGAGAGAAGGAGACAGAGAGAGAGTAAAAATATGCAAGTGTTGCTGTTGGGGGTTTTGGTGTTTCTGGATGTTGAAAAGTGCCGCTTTGTTGCCCCCTTTTGGCGGTGGAGGGAAATGATCTGGGGATGGAAGAGAACAAGGAAGAACGGGAGGTGTAAGGACAGAGGCATGTGAGGTACGAAGGGAGGGAGAAAGGAGTGAGGTAGGGAGGTCACTAAGAATTATCATGGGGTAACTCAGTGTCTAAGGCTGTGAATGGAAAATGTACAGTAACATCCTGTATTTTCTGACTGTGATATACACAATTAGATAGATAGATAGATAGATAGATAGATAGATAGATAGATAGATAGATAGATAGATAAAGCGGTAATAAAAACATACCAAACAATACCTAAGCCTGACAAAAACATACATATACACAAAAACTCCTTACAATGCATGGAGGCATCCGTTCTAAGTCTAGCACCCAGAGAGCAAAAAGAGGGAGGGCGAGGATTAGTGAGTGTCCGAGCTACGATTCAGGATGGAACAAGAAGCGTCCAAGAATACATCAGGAAGATGGTCCCCCAGGATGACCTGCTCAGAGAGTGCCTCGGGCAGCAGAAGATAGAGGGTGATGAGGAGGAAGAGGAAATATTGTGGAAGAACAAACCCCTCCATGGGAAGTACATCAGTAAATAGAGGAAGTGGCTGACATCAATAAATCCTACCAGTGGCTAGAAGAGGCCGGCCTGAAGAACAGCTCAGAGGCCTTGATCATGGCAGCACAAGAACAGGCTCTGAACACCAGATCCATAGAGGCAAGGGTCTACCATAGCAGACAGAACCCCTGGTGCAGGCTGCTGGCATAGTGTACAGAAATATCTGTGCCAAATATGGACTAGAAGTCCCCAAGTCCCAATGGGACACACCACTGAAAGTGGTTGAGAACCACAAGGCTAAGGTCCTGTGGGACTTCAAGTTCCAGACTGACAAGCAGCTGCTAGCTAACCAACCAGACATAGCGGTGGCTGACAAAGAGCAGAAGAAGGCAGTGGTGGTAGATGTGGCAATCTCAGCTGACAGTAACATCAGGAAGAAAGAGCATGAAAAGACTGAGATGTACCAGGAGCTGATGGAAAAACTGGAACAGATGTGGAAGGTGAGGTCCAAAGTGGTCCCAGTGGTAATAGAAGCATTAGGGACTTTGACCCCCAAACTGGGAGAGTGGCTCCAGCAAATTCCAGGTACAACATCTGGGGTTGGTTGGGAAGGTGACTTTTGAAATGTAATAGGTTATAGATTATTTGTTACCCTGTTAACACAGTAATAATGTAACTTATTACATTTGATTACTTTTTGGTTAACTTTCTAATAACTGGTAAATTAAGCTGAAAAGTCAGAAAAATATAATGGCTTTGCTGGCCAGCATCAGATTGGCCATCACAGCTCCTCCATTCTAATGTTGAATATTGGAGCCCCCCAGGGCTGCATGCTAAGACCCCTCCTGCTCATACTGTACACCCACGACTGCAATCGTCACTATAAAGAGAACACTGTTGTGAAGTTTGCGATGACACCACTATCATCAGCTGGGCTACAAATGAGTATCACATTGGGAGGAAATCAACGGTCTTGCAGAGTGGTGCTCAGACAACAACCTACTGCTCAACATCATCTGTCGAAAACAAGGCATAGACACACACCTCTGTCTACATCAGTGGAGCTGAGGTGAAGCAAGTACATAGTTTTAGGTTCCTGGTAATCAGCATCACAAATAAGTGGATATGGTCATCTCACATCTTCATCCTGGTAAACAAAAACAAAAACAGCTGTATTTTTCTAAGGAAACTCATAAAATTCTCCTGCCAAGTTCATCTTAACTTTTACAGAGGAGCAATAGAAAGCATTTTGAGTGGAAACATTTCAAACTGACATGGGATGTGCCGAGGTCAGGACAGGAGAGCTCTGCAGCAGGTGATTTAAACTGCCCAGAACCTTGTTGTTACTGAGCATCAGTAATATCAGTGAGGTAAGGTGCCTGCGCAGAGACCAAAGGATATTACCCACCTCAGTCACAGCCTTTTCACCCTGCTGCCATCAGGCAAGTGATACAAGAGTAACCACTGCCATACCACCAGACTACAGAGCAGCTTCTTTCCTCAGGCTGTGAGACCCCTCAACTACACCTCACCTTCCAAACTCCACCATAAAAAATAGTTTACTTGGTGGTTCAAATGAAGAATCTAGGAATGGCTCCCTACAACAGTTTCATGTGGGATGAATAAAATTCTATCTTATCTACGGGAGTTTTCATATTAGGTTTAATCGATTTGTACCCTGCCTGAGCACAGACCCAACCTCCCACTCTGCCCACTGCTTAGTAATGATGTTCTGTACCCAAGTACGCTTGTGTCATCATTTATATATTTTATTTTTGCTGTGCTACAGTGTAGAAAATTACGGAAGCGTATTGCTGCCATCAGAGGAAAAAAAAACGGCTCAGCATCACGTAATTACGTGGAAGGTTTATTGTTTCAATATCTTTTCACGTTTTAACAATATCTTTTTTCATGTTATAACATGAAAGTATCATATTATAACATGAAAGTATCACGTTATAACATGAAAGTATCATGTTATAACATGAAATTGTCACGCTATTCCGTGATAAGATGTTTTCACGATATAACGTGATAAGATGTTTTCACATTATAACGTTAAAGTGTGGTTTTACGTTATATCAAGATAAGATTCACATCATTCTACGCTTCTCCCACTGTGAACTGGCATGTGTTTCAGTGAGCTCGTACGTCGCCATAGAAAATGTGGATTCTCCACTGTCGAGATTTCTTCGAGGTCGTGGTGTACCAGAAGACTGTCTCCTTCGCATGGAGCAAGATCATGTAAGTGTATTTTTTACCGCCTACCATCTAATTCAAACGTTGTGTATGGTTAGCTTACGATGGCTAATTTAGCTAGCTAACTAGCCTGGTAAGAAGCTACACGCTGACTATGAGGGAGAAAAACACACATGGAACTTGCTATGGGTTGGGGAACTGCAATAGGCTACATACTTCCATGGGAAATACGGGCTAGAGTGATGCACCATCAAAGTGATTTATTAGTTCTCATCTATTAAAGGTAGAGTCTGGAGTTTTGTTCGTTGCAGTTTGTAAACAAAACATTCAAACTGGGCCCCTCTTCTCGGGCTCAACTGTGTAGCGTCCTGCCCCAGACAGCAGCAGCAGCAGTTGTCAGGACCGTAAAGGAAAGGAAATACAGTCTGAGTGAAGCTCTGGAGCCATGGGCCGATACCCGGTGTTGTGTCCCTACTGGTTTCCAATTTAAATGGTTTCCTTACCGAACAGCCACAGATGTGCTTCGCCTCCGTCAGCAGATTTGTCACAAATTCACAAACATACACAACATATTACTGGCGATCTTAAAGTCGCAGCCCACATCTACCACAGCGAATATGCTTCTGTAAGTGAGCACTACGTAGCCTACCAGCAACATTAAAAAAAAGAAAGGAAAGAAAATATGATATACACAAATTTGCGTCAAGCTGGACTCGATTTCACGTCAACAAAAGACAATATAACACAAACCGCATGTCTACCTGTGTGAGCTACTGAGACTCACAGAGCACACAGCTTTCCTCAGGTATTAGTAAATTACGTCAGCATCCAGGTAACATTTTGATTTTGGCTGACCTGAGACAACTGGTTACCGTCGGCTTGCCTTGAAAATACCCACACATATTTATCAGTGTTTCTTGTTCTTTTTCCACGAGTCTACAAACATATTCAGTGCCACATTACAGTCTGCACAACACTGCACACTATGACAAAGCCTGTCATGTTTAAAATGTGCACGTAGCTTCATCTGAGCTCTGTCATCAACACATTAATACTGATAATAATAATAATAAGCCACCAAGCTGGACAATGGACTGCCAGACGTTGTCCTTTAATTCATTGTTCATAAAATCATCCCGTTTTTTTATCAAAAAGGACGGGGTGCTGTGAAATTATCAATCTTTATTCCATACTGTCCTTCCTGACTGGATTTTGGACTCTCCCGGTCTGCGCGACTATAAACAAA